CAAAGCTGTGTTCTGTAAATTTCACCAGAAACCTTTCGTTAATGCTGCATGTGCTGACAGAACTGAAGAACTTGTCCAAGATGTTACAAGAACGAGACATGACCATTCCAAAAGCAGACAATCTAATGCAAATATACATCAAGAGAATCGAAAACCTAAAAACAGACCCAGGAATTCACTCTGAAGAAGCTCAGAAGGCTGAACAATCCATGATGTTCAAAAACAGCAGATTAAACGGTGCTGGAAAAAGCCCCAGAATCAACTCGTCTCAATTCATTCAAGCAGTCATTGAAAACGTGAGGACAAAACTCTTCACAACTGCCTCAAACAAAGCCAATCAAAGCACACGTGAAGAAAGGGCTTCCAATTATAAGGATAATTAACAATTTGTCAATTTTGAATCCTGAAAAATGGCACGAGAATCCAGAGAATCCCTACTTTGGAGAAAAGGAAATAAGAGCATTGGCTGATCAACTGAGAATCAATCAACAAGAAACACACTTGGGATTTGTTGAATTCAAGGCTTCTGGAGGAAAAAACATTCCTGGTAAACTTAAAAAACTCGTCCTTGCAGTGGACACCCTTGCTGCAAGCAACGCTGACTGCGAAAGAGGATTCAGTGCGATGAACAACATCATTACAGTGAAACAGACTGTACTTACCACTCATCATGTGGCGGGCTTGCTATTCATTTCATGTGTGGGACCTCCTTATACTTAGGGGAATGCCATATGTGAAATTGTGGCTTGCAAAGGGCAGACGTGCACCACATTCATCTCGAGGCATGGCACGACAACAGAGAGAGCAGCGAGATCAGCTTATGGCCCAATGTGGGGAGTTTCTACAAGGATGCTTTGCTCCATCTAGTCCTTCCCAGGGATGCCCCTTTCTTGCCCCCATTGGCTAGCCATCTCAAACCTTCCACATGCCAGGACTGAGACAGGGACTGGGGCGGCTTTGCTGTGGGTAGTGGTTCCCCTTGGAGCTGCAGCCCCCTCCTGCCACCTGCTATCGCTTGTGTTGTTGCTGCTGCACGCCCCCCGGACCTTTGTCTCCTCCCCTGCCTCCTAGGTGGCTCTCTCCTGCAACCTGACAGAGTAGCAGTTGCTGAGGCTGGAAGTTTTCCTGTGGGCACCATTAAGCAGCAACCCAAAAGCTGGGTGTCCACAGGTGCGCTGACAGTACCCAGCCAGACCTTGCCTCTTGCAGAAGTTCCTGAGGTGTTAGCTGCAGAAACACTGTCTCCCCTGTCCCCCCACCACTCAAAAGGGCACTGGCGCCCTCCCCATGGGCTGCACTCCTGGAGAATGTGCCTGGCCACTGCAATGGGTGGTCACTTGCTTGCATAAGGACAGCAATACATACAGTATGTATGTGTATGAATGTGTCACAAACGATGCAGCTGCAGCCTGCCGCTGACCAGCAGCGACCCCAGCAACCAACCCCTGTGGACTGCTACCTGCAGAGAGCCAGCAGGTGCCACTGGGCTGGGTCTGCCAAGGAGTAAGTAACCAAGGCAAAAACCACAGCCAGCCAGCCAGCCACTGCGCCATGCCCACCAGTGCCCCACTTTCCCTAGATGCTCCCTATTTCCTAGCAAGTCAGATATCAAGGATTGTTTAATCTCCCACCCAAGCACATAAAAGTGGGCACGGGGTACACCAATGGGTGGCTATTAGTAGGGGAAGACTGAGGTGAATGAAGGGCAACTAGAATAGCTGCCATGAAATATACAAGATACTTAGAGAAAGTTTTGTCAATTTCAGTCTCCGCACTCTGCAGGACACGGACACCCACAAAACAAAAAGAGATCTGAGCCCCTATGTCCTAAGCACATTTCAGGTGTTTAATTCAATATATAAAGAGGGTGGAATGAAAACTACTATTTCTTTCAAAGGAAGCACAATAATTTCCTCTGAATATCCAGTTTTCCCCTCCAGTCCCTTTGTGGTTTTGTCTATGGGGCTATTGGTAACACTGGGCACTACTCTAGGTAACTCAGGAGGATGGAAGACCACGAGTGTCGATGAAGCCCTCTTGCTCTAATTCCAGGCAAACTGAAGCCCCTCCGTTCCTTGAACTTTCTGTAACCCTGCAAAACTATGAAAAAGCTAGCACACAAACAGACAGGTTTGCACACAGCTCGCTAGCCAAAACCAGCTTTGGCCAAAAAATCACATAAATAAAAAAAAATGTTGAACAAAAACTAGTAACAAATATAACCAAATAAGGCAAGGCTCAAGCAATGCTAATAAAGAAAAATATAACTGACTGCTTTAGCTAATTGGCTACGGTATTGTACGGGGCAACAGGTAATTGGTTGTATATGCTTGTGTAATTAAATTAAAAAAAGGTATAAATTGTATAATGTAATCTGCATTCGGGGCTGCAGGATTTAAAACAGCTCAGTCTCCTTGCACCATATTTAAAGCTTCAAATAAAACTCTCTTCTTCTCCACCCCATTGTGGTCATTGGTGCAACACATACCGGGCAATGAACCCACCTGTTGCTTGCCTCGGGCACTCTGTGCTGGCAACAGGTTTTGGCGCCCAACGTGGGGCTCGAGGCTGCTATTTAGCCTTGCCTGGACCCCTCCTGGCGGTCAACGGATTGTGGCGACAACTGACGCCCAGTGTGCACCGGTGAGTTCATCGGGAGGCGTCAGAGGAGACGCAATTTGCTCGACCCCGGAGGGCACAATGGTGCAACGCGCCCCTATAATGGAGAAGTGACTGCGGGCGATGGTGAGGAACCGGTCCCCTGGAAAAGGTAAGAACAGTCCAGAAGTCTGGACTTTCTCTGTTAAAACCTGGGGACGCCCAGTGTCGTCCGGGAATATGGGACAGGGACAGAGTAACACAGGCAGGGCAGAGTGCACGCCCCTAGAATGCATTCTAGCAAACTGGAAAGTGTTTGAATCAGATCCAATAACAAAAAACAAATTAAAAAGGTTCTGTATAGTAGACTGGCCTCAATATCGGCTAGAGGACCAGAAACGGTGGCCACCAGGAGGGTCAATTAATTATAATATGATCCTCCAATTAGTCCTGTTTTGTCAGCAAACGGGTAAATGAAATAAACATCTGTATGCGCAAGCATTTATGACTTTAAGAAATAAAACAGATGTTCTACAGAGATGTAATTTGACTCCAACAAGACCGGTAGTAACTAATGTTAGCCCCCCAGAACCTCCCTAATGTTGTAATGGCAGATTCGGTGTCCCCTTCGGCCCCAACACCCCCACCTTATAAAGGTAGGACACCTCAGGTTACAGAGATTGCCCCCTCGGTGGGACTCTATCCTTTGATTACCGAGACTGTTGTGGCTTGCCCAGGGGCAGATGGGTGCCAGGCCACCACTATGCAAGTTTACACCCATGTGCCATTCAATCCAATAAACTTAGCAGCTTTTAAAACACAAGCTGGGGAATTCTCAACGAACCCAAGCCGGTTTATTTCAGTCTTCGAGGGGTGCCTCAGTAGTCACAATCCAGACTGGGATGACTGTAATATCCTCCTAAGAACCTTGTTGTCTGAGGTGGAGCAAAATCAGGTTATAGCTAAGGCAAGGAAGGAGGCACGGCAAAGACACAAAGGAAATCCAAATAATGTCCCCGCTGCCGCAGACGTGGTCCCCCTAGCAGATCCCAGGTGGAACCCGAATGACCCCGTACACATGACCCGTCTCACCTCCTATAAGGAGTTACTTTTGCATGGATTCTGACACTCGGCTGTCCGACACAACAATTGGGCCAAACCATGTAAAATAATACAAAAACCAAAGAAAAGCCCGGTTGCCTTTTTACAGTGCATTCAGAATGCCATTCGGCAGAATACTAACGCAAACCCCGATGACCAGGCAACCGAGGCAATTATAAAAGGCATTTTTACCAGCCGAGCAGCCCCCAACATTAAAAAAAAGTTGCAAAAAAAAAAACTTAATGGGCATGACTATGGCACAAATTTTAGAAACTGCAAACCAAGCTTATAGCCTAAAAAAAAAGGCAATGTAAAATACTGGTAGCAGCAGTGCAGGCTGGCACAAAAAAAAAAAAACAAAAAACCCTGGAATGGTAGCAGTGGACAGGAAAGAAAAAACCAAGGACGAGGACGCAGGAGAGACGGCTAAGTCGCAACCAGTGTGCCTTATGCCAGAAAAAAAAAACACTAAAAAAATAAATGCCCAAAAAGGAAGCATGCCCCCATAATGGCAGCGGTGGAGCAGGAATAGAGGTGGCAGGGGAGACAGACCGCCCTGCCCCTGGAACCCTGAGTAAAAATGCAGGTGGAAAGCTCGGATATAAATTTTTTAGTAAACTCTAAAGTGGCACAAACTGCCGTAAACCGACCCCTTTGGTTGCCGGTAGCAGATTCCCTTATCGTGGTGGGCACCACAGGCAGAGGCACCAAGTGCCCAGTGTATGTCCCAGCGAAATGCGCTTTAAGAAACAGAACTATATCCCACAAGCTGGTATACCTCCCCGACTGCCCAACGCCTCTGCTGGGATGGGATCTGCTTTGTCGCCTAGGCGCCACCCTGCATTTTACTAAAAATAAAATAACCTTACCTTACCCCCCAAGAATGCATGGATCATGTCCCTTGCAGTTAAACCCTCAGCTATGCAAGCCCCAGAATGAAGCCAGTGGAAAGACCAGGTGTACCCCCTAGTGTGGGCAGCAGGGGTCCCAGGAAAGGCCACCCACCAAACCTCCGTCAATGTTCAGCTCATGCCAGGGAAAAGCCCAGTGCAAATCAAACAGTATCCAATAAAAAAAAAAGCCAGAAAAGGTCTGCAGGAGCCTATAGACCAATTCCAAGCATACGGCATCCTGCAAGAATGCCAGTCAGCCTGGAACGCTCCCATTCTGCCCGTACAAAAGCCTGATGGCACGTATCAACTGGTACAAGACCTACGGGCGGTAAATAAACAGGTTAAGACTCTGCACCCCCTTGTCCCAAACCCGTATACATTACTGGCTTCTATAGGGGGACAGTATACCTATTTTTCGGTGCTCAATCTGAAAGACGCTTTCTTTACCATTCCAGTTGACACCCCATCTCAGGAGATCTTCTCCTTCAAGTAAAAAAACCAAAAAAAAGTTAAAAAGCAACTTTGCTGAACAGTGTTAGCCCAGGGATTTAAAAATTCCCTCACCCTCTTCGGCCAGGCTTTAGCCAGGAACCTAAAAATGTGGAACAATAAGAAGGAGGTCCTCCTTCTGAAATATATAGACAATTTGTTAATTGCCACTGTGGGCCTATCCCCCTGCCTTGAAGCCACCGTGAGCCTCCTAAACCATATTGGGCTCCAAAAATATTGGGTTGCACAAAGTAAGGCTCAAATTGCCCTCCCAAAAGTACGGTACCTAAGGTTTCACATATGGCAAGGGGAGCGCCAGCTTTTAAACAAAAAAAAAAACCTATATGTCAAGACGCTACCCCAAGTACTCGTAAACGGCTCATGGCCTTTCTGGGTATGGTGGGTTTTTGCAGGATATAGATCCCAAAGTTTGGACTATAAACTAAACCATTATATGACTGTGTCAAGGGAACAAATCACGACCCCTTTCACTGGTCCCCAAAAGCCAACAAGGCATTTAAAATCTTTTAAAAAAAGCTAATAAAAGCTCCAGCCCTGGGTCTGCTGAATCTCTCTAAGCCATTTCAGTTGTATATACATGAACAAAAAGGGGTAGCCCTGGGAGTGCTAACCCAGTTGTTGGGAACCTGTAAACGTCCCATGGCCCATTTTTCCAAACAACTTAATCAAGTTGCCAAGGGCTGGCCAGCATGTTTACGGCAGTCGCAGCCACCTCCCTAGTACTTAAGGAAGCCAAGAAGCTAACATTGGGGGGGTCATGCAAGTGTATACTCCCCATGTGGTCCGAGCCCTGCTAAACACCAAGAGTGGGCTCTGGCTCACCCAGGCTCGGATAGCTCAATATCAGGCTAAGCTGTTAAAAAAACCCCGAGGTCACCCTGCAGCCTTGCCCCTCCCTTAACCCAGCCACCCTTTTGCCAAAAACAAAAACACAAAAACACAACTGTTTAAAAATTATAAATGCCCAATACTCCAGCCACCAGGACTTAAAGGATCAACCCCTCCCAAATGCAAATTATAAGTGGTACACTAATAGTAGCAGCATTGTCATAAATAAGCAAACGAGGGCGGGTTATGCTGTCGTGACCCTCCATGATACCATGAAGGCCAAAGGGTTGCCCACCGGGACCTCTGCCCAGCTTGCTGAGCTAGTAGCCCTGACCCGTGCGCTCAAACTGTCAAAGGGAAAGCGGGTCAACATTTTTACCAATTCAAAATATGCTTTTGAAGTGCTACATGCTCATGCTGGCCTGTGGAAGCAAAGGGGAATGCTAACGGCCCAAGGTTCCCCAGTCAAGTACGGGCCCCAAATTCTCCAGCTCCTAGAAGCCATACAACTCCCCTCAAAAGTAGTGGTGGTGCACTGTAAAGCCCATCAAAAAAATCAAGACATGGCCAGGGGCAACGCCCAGACAAACAAAAAAGCCAAGCGTGCCGCCACCTTGACTCCACTAGAAACTAAGGATGCCCACATGCATGCCCTTATCCCATCAGTGGGGGAGCTTCCGACCCCTCAGTACTCTGGAAAAAAAAAACTAGCTAACAAACTCGGTCTTCAAAAAAAAAAATGGCTTCATTCCCCCCCCCCCCCCCCGCAAAATATCCTCCTACCAAAGAGCTTGATCCGGCCAGTACTGCAGCAGCTACACCAAACCACTCACGCTGGCAAAGAAGCCCTTATCCAGCTAATAAAAAAATACTAATTGGCTTCTGGACTCCAACCCCTGGCTCCCAGATACAAGCTGACTGTTTAGTCTGCCAAAAAAATAACCCTTGGCTGGGACATCCAGTAACACCAGCTACCTGAAACCCAGGCCCCGGACTAGTATGGCAAATAAATTTTACTAAATTTCCCCGGACCCAAGGGTTCAGATATCTCCTTGTCTTGGTGAATCGATTCAGCGGATGGCCTAAAGCCTTCCCATGCCGTAATTGCACTGCCAAAACAGTGGCCCTCAAATTCGTTAAAAAATTTATTCCCCGCTTCGGACTGCCCCAATGAATGGAATCTAACAATGAAATGCACTTCACATCACAGATCATTCAAAACATCTCAGAGGCCTTACAGATCCCCTGAAAACTCCATACGCCATAAAGACCGCAGGCCAGTGGCGTAATAAAGGGTACCAATCAAACCCTTAAGCGACACCTCTCAAAAGTGTGCCAAGAAGCCTCCCTGCAATGGCCTGATGCTCTGCCCTTTGTCCTGCTCTGCGTCCGCGCTCTCCCAAAGGGTAAATTAGGGCTTAGTCCCTTTAAAATTATGTTTAAAAGGGCATAGCCTATAAATGAGACACTGGTTCTAGCAAAAAAATAAGAAATAAAGTGTAGTTTTTTGTCTCAGTATATGTGCTCTCTGTCTGCTGTTCTCTCTTCTCTCCACAAGTATACCAAAGACTTCCAGCCTCTTCCATTGAATGCCCCTGTCCACTCCTTGCAGTCAGGTGACTCCGTGCTTGTTCGTACCTAAAAAAACAAGCCTCTCCAAAAAAGTAAAAGGGACCCCACACCATCCTGCTGGTTTCCCACACAGCAGCAAAGGTCAAAAAACACAAAAACTAAATCCATCACTCTTGCCTGAAGGCGGTGCCTACTCCTCCACCAGCAGAACGGTGGACCATCCAGCCCATCACCACTTCACCCTCCAATAATCTTAAACTCAAATTATTGTTTAAAAAAACATAAGCACGGGGCGGGGGGGGGGCTAAAGGGGCATATACACCATAAGGTCCCTCATAGCGAGTGTCATTTGCCTAGTATTCCCCATATCTCGCTCTCTAAAAAATAAATAAAAACCGTTAACCTAAATGTAAATACCTATAAGGCCCTCAAAATAGCCTTTGCCCATAAATTTAATCTTTCCAACTGCTAAATATGTTTCCAGATCCCCTACCATGCGGCCGGCTTCCCTTGAAGGGCGACCCCCCACAACTGGTCAGACCTCTGTAACCAATAGTTAAAAGCAAACACCACTCAGTTCAAACACAGCCTACTTTAACAAAAAACTGTACTAAAAAGGCCGAGTGTAGCAGCAACACTAATCCCTGGAAACCCTACTGGAATGCGACCCATCCGCCCAAATCCAAATCCAGCTATGCTCCGTCCCGTTGGGCCTCCTTTGTTATCGCCAAAAAGCCACTGCTAACCATACCTAATTCGCTGGTAATAGTACCTGTCAGTTTTATTTGTCCCCTTCCGCAAATACCACTATCCCTCTATTTAATAGTGCTTGCCAAAACACAGGCAAAGGGCTTCAATATTATACCCCCTTAAAAGCCGCAGTCAACAAATTAAGCCACAATGGCATGGTAGCTAATAAACAGTCCTTTTATGTCTGTAGTAACTCAGCCTATAAATGGCTACCCCACCACTGGCACAAAAGCTGTTATTTGGAATACCTTACCCCTCCCCTTCGGGTCATGGCCCAACTCCCGTCGGGCTGTCCCCGGCATCAGCAGTCCCTGTATGCCACCCCCGTACCCATTAATAAAAACAATAAATTCAGTATAATCCTTCTCCCAGCATATAAGGTGGGTAAATTGGCCAAGCTCTATCGCCAGCTCTCTGCATTCCTCACCAAGTTCGCCAATACCTTAGCCATAAAAAGGAGCCTCAACACGGAACTTTATCAACTCCAATTGTTGTCCCTGCAAAACCGCCAGGCCCTAGATTACCTTTTAGATGCACAGGGCGGGGTGTGTGCCATTATTAAAAATACATGCTGTACGTATGTCCCAAAAAATTCACAGAATATTAACAAGCACATCCTGTCAGCCAAACAGGCTCTTAACTAGTAAAAAGCCCAGAAAAAAAAGCCCACTATTTTTGACTCACGCTGGGGATGGCTGCCTGACCTGGGGGGAGGCATTGTTAGTCTCCTGTTCACAAGTGCCGGGTTGTGTATTATCACTCTCCTCTTGCTTGCCTGTTGTAAGGCACTCATATATAAACTTTGTGCCTCCCGCTCCACAGAAACCCCATTATATCCTCTTGTTAAGAATTCTAACTCCTCAGCGCTTAATCACTTGTTGTCCTTAAAATATAAAAAAACTCAGTCACAAGCTTATTAAGTGTACTCAAAGAAGGAAGTTGTTGGTAACACTGGGCACTGCTCTAGGTAACTCGGGAGGGTGGAAGACCATGAGTGTCGATGAAGCCCTCTTGCTCTAGGCCCAGGCAAACTGAAGCCCCTCCGTTCCTTGAACTTTCTGTAACCCTGCAAAACTATGAAAAAGCTAGCACACAAACAGACAGGTTTGCACACAGCTCGCTAGCCAAAACCAGCTTCGGCCAAAAAAACATATAAATAAAAAAAATGTTTAGCAAAAACTAGTAATAAATATAACCAAATAAGGCAAGTCTCAAGCAATGCTAATAAAAAAAAACATAACTAGCTGCTTTAGCTAATTGGCTACGGTATTGTACGGGGCAACAGGTAATTGGTTGTATATGCTTGTGTAATTAAATAAAAAAAAGGTATAAATTATGTAATGTAATCTGCATTCGGGGCTGCAGGATTTAAAACAGCTCAGTCTCCCTGCGCCATATCTAAAGCTTCAAATAAAACTCTCTGCTTCTCCACCCCATTGTGGTCATTGGTGCAGCACACACGGGGCAACAAACCCACCTGTTGCTTGCCTCGGGCACTCTGTGCCAGCAACCAGGGCTATTTGCTTTCCCCTTGAATCTTTAGTTGTTTTGCAAAATTGCTTTGCCCAAAATAAACCCTGATCATCAGAACACATCTTCCCACCATGTTCTCCATGTTTTTTTTTTAAACAGTAACATTTCAAAGAGGATCTGCAAGCAGTTTAGACATCACAATCATGATCCTCTGCTGGGGAGGGAATGGGATAGAGTTGAACTTGGAAATGGTTCCTGATTTTGATTGTATTTTTCATGTATTATATTATTGAAGATCGCCTCATCCAAGGGGCAGAAAAGAACTGCCCAGGCTTTGGTACCCCCCACCC